ATAACAGGACAGCAAGCAATAAATGCTGGAGAGGATGTGGAGATATAGGAACTCTCATACAGTGTTGGTAGGAATGTAAAATGATACAACCATTCTAGAAGGCAGTTTGGTGTTTCCTCAAAAAGCTGAACACAGAAATTCCATATGACCCAGCTATTAATCCACTGCTAGGAATACACTATGAGAAAATTACAACTGAGACACAAATGTAGATTTGTACACTTATGTTCATAGTAGCATTATTCACAACAGCAAGAGCATGGAAACAGCCCAAATGTCCATCAACAAACAAATGTACTTAGAAATTGTGGTACATTCACATGCTGGAATACTATGTAGAACTCAGGAGCAACAATTTAGAAATAATACTGCTTAACATGGGAGAGGCTGGAAAGCATCATGCTGAGTGAGCTAACTTGGTCTCATAAGGACAAATACTGCATAAAACTGTTATTGTGAAAATAGAAGCTAACAAGTAACAAAGGTGCTCTGGTGGCCTAGAGGCAAGAAGCTGTGCTGCAGTTCTGAAGGTATGCGGTTCAATGCCACCAGCTCTTTTGCGGGAGAAGGATGGGCAATCTCCTCCCGTGTGATTAACTCTGAAAACCCTCTGGAGGGTCTGCTATGGGTCAGTTTCAACTTGATGGTACACAACAACAACAACAACAACAATGAGTAAGATGTGTATAAATGTCCAAAGAAGGAAGGAGAGTAGGTGGGGGGACTGAAAGGAAGGGAGTCATGGGGTCACAGAGTTTGGTAGGTGGAGGTAAAGGAATTAGGAAAGATCCAATGGGGATCTTAGAAAAATGAGGCATAGATCAACGATGATTAATTTTATAAAACACAACATATGAGAATGATTGTATGAAACAATGTGAATGAAGAAATGTGTAAAACACAATATATATGAATGAAAAAAAAACCCAACTGAAAAAATAATTTTGAGTAGTTCTGAAAGGATTGTTTACAGCTGGACTTTATACAGCTCATAGACTAGGCCTCATTGGTCTTGATTTTAAAAGCAGCGTGGTATATGATATGATCATTACTGTTCTTGTGTACTGTCGAACAACAGGGTTCAGGGATTAGGTAACCCAGTTTACCAATCTACCTGTTCTCCAGCATGTCTCAGAGGGAATTGTTACGTCTGATTTTTTTTTTCAAGTGGGATTTAAGTGGGTTTGTTGATGCAGGAAGCATCCGAGCGTTAGTTTCCTGAGAGAAGATAGGGGTCTCAAGAGCTGGAGATTAGAAAATGTGATGGAGCCCATCATGAGCCCATTATGTTTGGAATACTAAGGAGCAGACTTTTGAAATGGAAGGTTTTAAAGAGCAGTTTGAGAAGACAAAGCAAAGTAGTTTAATGGGATGTGCAAAGAGCTGGAGTTAGAAAAGAAAAAAGAGAAGAATTCATTCGCATTTCTCAAGCTGAAAGAACTGAAAAGTAAAGCCAAGCCTTGAGTTGCAATACTGAAGGGTATTATGGGCAAGATCTTGAATGATCCAGGAATCATCAAAAGAAGGTGGAGGAAACACATAGAGTCACTGTACCAAAAAGAAGTGGCTGGCACAGAACTATTTCAGAAGTAGCATATGATCAAGAACCAACAGTAAAAAAAGAAGACATTTAAGTCACACAGAAGGCATTGGCAAAAAATAATACCCTACGATATGGAATACTAACTGACAAGTTTCCACAAACAGCTGCAACCCTGGATGTGCTTACTAGTCTGTGCTAGGAGACTTGGAAGACAGGTCACTTGACTGGAGGAGATCCGTATTAGTTCCCATTCCAAAGAAAGGTGACCCAACAGAATCTAGAAATCATTAAACTGTATTGTTAATATCAAAATCTTTCAGAAGATTATCCAAAATGGCCAGAATAGTACCTTGACAGAGAACTTCCAGAAGTTTAAACTGGATTTGCAAGAGGTCATGACATT